GCCAGCCTGCCTCTCACAGTACGGGCTCGATAAATGTTTGCTTTTCCATTGGTGAACTCTGTTTCGCGCCAAACACTGGATGAATTCCAGTGAGTGATTGAGGCAGATTATCCTGTGGTTGATAGAACTGTTATTACAGTTTGGTGATAAAGACTCCACTTTATTCCAGTGTAGAGGATTTATAGGCAGGTAGGGAGTTTGTTTTCATCCTTAGTATTCAGAGGTGGCTGTGGCCGGGACTATTGCCATCTGTGTGTTCCTGGCTGTGGATGCTCCACTCGGCTCTCAGCTCTCTCCCCAAAAGCTTCTCTACATCCTGGAGCAGGGAGGGACCCTGAGGAGGGGAGGTAGGGTGCTGTGGAGGACCCCAGGCCAGGCCTTTTCCTTGACCTGAAGGTGCAGGGTGGAGGATGGGGTCTGCCCTGGTGGGCAGCATGTGGGCTTGAGGCAGGCGCTGCCCACACTCTGTCTTCAGCCAGCCTCTCTGAGGTCTTGGGGCTGAGCGGTACCCCCTTGCTCTGTACACACCCGCCCACATAGACACGTGGAGACGGTTATTAATATTATTGAGGAGCCTTGGTGACATGGCGGGTTAAGCAAACTCTGAGGTTCAAAATTACTAGTTGCTCCGTAGCAAGAGGTGAGGCAGTCTTCTTCCACAGTTTCAGTCTGCCCTCCTGGGTCACTATGGTCAGCACTGACTCCACAGCAGGGGGTTTGGGGTTTTAATAGCATCAGTGGCAGTGGGGTTATTGGTACCATGCCCACGTGGTATAATGCCTCTCAGTCTCCAGAGGGTAGCCCATTATTCTGTGCATCTCCAAGTCTTTCTAAAATACCAGTCTGAACCTGTCACTCTCTTGCTAAAAGCTCTTCCCTTCTCCTCTCCGAAACCCTCCAGCCCTACGAAGTCCTCATGGTTTCTCCAGCAGGCAGGGCTCTGCCCTGTTTCTAGGCTTGCCTCCAGAACAGCTCTTTCCGCTTCTCCTGGCTTACCCTTGGCCTCAGGGCTCAGTGGTGATGTTTATGGGAAGCTCTGCCTGAGGTCAGTCTCTCTCAGACTTGGACCCTGAGACCCAGAATTGTCTGAAAGGCATGTATGGGAGAGTGCCTATGGTAGACAGAACTCCTCCCACATTCCCAAAAATGTCCACGGCCTCATCCCCAATGCCTGTGAATACATGGCTGAAGGGGCTTTGAAGATGTGAATAAGTTCAAGATCCTGAGATGGGAAGAGCATCCAGGCTTATCCGGGAGGATCCAATGTAATCTAAGGAAGGCAAGAGGGCCAACGTCAGAAGAAAGAGCTGTGATGAGGGAGGCAGAGAGAGACTGAAAGATACAATACTGCTGACTTTCAACATAGAGGAAGGGGCCAACAGCCAAGGACTGCAGGCAACCTTTAGAGTCTGGAATTCTAGAGCCCTGAGAAAGAATGTAATTCATTGACTCATTTTGGACGTCTGGCCTCCAGGACTGTAAGATGATACACTTGTGTTACTTTGGGCTTTCAAACTTGTGATAATTTCATCCTTTGGGATCAAACACTGGGTAAGGAGTGAGGGATGCAGGGCTGGGCAGAGGAAGAGTTGGGCTGCAATGCAATTTCAAAGCCGCCTCAGCTGGCCCCACCAGAACTCTGGGGCTTCCATGGTCCTGCAGAGTTGTCCTGGCTCTCCCCAACCCCAAAGTCAACGAGTCATTGGATGCAGGCTGCTCTCATGCAGGGCTGTGGCCTTGGGTGAGGCAACTCCCTTCAGGCCAGAGCAGTGCCCTGGGAGGACTCAGCTATGAGCTACTAGCAGCCAGCATGCCTATCCCTGGGGGACCAAGTGCCCTGGTCCTGAAGAGAGCTTCATTAAATACCTTTCAAGTGGCAACGGCAGGCCCAGTTTTTCCTCGTAGCATTTCCTTACCACACAGGGATGCCACTGTGAGCATCTCAAGGACAAGGACCCAGTCAGATGGTTCACTGATTATGTGCCCAGCACAGAGCTTGGCACAGATCAGGACTTGGCGAATAATTGGATGCTTGCCATCTGCCCAGCTTGCTTCTGTCTGTAAAGCAGCTCACGGTCCTCCCCTTGCGATGGCCTTGCCATTCATTCCAAGTTGTGCCTGCAGATGCTTGTCTCGAAGGTTTGCCCAAGTTGGCTGTGATAAAGATACTACCATAGTCAACATTTTCTGAGTCATTCCGTTGGACCAGTCATTGTTCCATTCCTTACATATATGGGCTTATTCAATCCTTGTTACTGTTGTTAATTAATTGCTGTCAAGTTGATTCCGACTCATAGTGACTCTGTATAAGGTTTCCAAGGAGTGGATGGTAGGTTTAAAGAGTTGATATTGTGGTTAGTGTCCAATGCTTAATTCTGCATTGCCACACCAGGACTCCCATTCATTCCTAACAACAACCCAGTGACGTGGGTGTAACTGTGTCCTCCACTTGATAGGGGAGGGAACAGGGGCACCGGAGATGAAGTCATTTGCCCAAGATCACACACCTAGCAAGGATTCAAACCTCACAGTCTGGCTCCTGCGTCCGCACAAGTAGCTACCACACTGTGCCGCATTACCTCCTAAATACTAGGGTGTGCCCCAAACCCACATCACCTGCAAACCTATCCACTCCTTGGAGCTGGTACTCCATCAGAGCTGGGGAGAGATCATGGGGCTGGATGGTTGTTCTCTAGTGTGCCCTGAAGTATCTGCAGAGCCTGCTGTTTCCATGAGAACATTTGTCTCTGACAATTCTGGGTGACTGCTCACGAGTTCTTCTCCAGAGCTCCGGGCCCCATGGGTGTCATCCTCACTCATGTCTAAGGAATAAGTCGAAGCTGCCCTTGAACTACAGGGGACTCAGGGTGCCCCACTGAGCAGCACCTTCCTGGCACTGCCCCAGTTTGACACACTGCAGTCCCTGCCTTAGAACCAAGCCCTGTAGAGTCGTTCTGTGCACCAGGCTCTTTCTTGGCATCAGTCACCACCCTATAGGGACTCAGCCACCATCTTTCACTCCCAAGAAGCAGAGAAGCATAGCAGGGGACACTTCCCGAGGTAGGCCTTGCCTCGGCTATGAATCAGCCTCATCTGTATGACCTCGGTGGGTTTCTGAATGCAAGTTTCGTCATGTGCGAAATGGAGCTAACATGGATAATGTTAGCATTTACTGTGGGCCAATAACTGCCCAATATGCTCACATATGTTCTTAATTTAACCCTCTTTATAGGGACCTTAGAGGCACACACTGTCTCTATTTTACAAGCGAGAAGCTGAGTCTCAGAGAGGCTAAGTAACTTGCCCAAAGCCACACAGCCAGCAGGTGATAAGGTGGGTCTCCTAATGTGAGCAGGGTGGACTTGAGTCTGTTCTCTTCACCATCTCTGTCCAGGCTGGTTGATGGATTAAGTGAGGTGATGTACGCAAAAGACTTCTCCTGGTAGCTGACCTAGAATAAGTCTTAGATGAATGTTGTTGCTATTGAGTGCTCTCAAGTTGATTCCGACCCATAGCGACCCTGTATAGGGCTTCCAAGGGGCAGCTGGTGAGCTTGAACCACCGACCTTGCAGTTCAAACAACTTTGTAGTCTGATGCATTAACCCAGAGTGCCACACCAGGACTCCTGTTGTTAATGTTAAGGTGCTCTCAAATCATGTAGCTTGTAGAAACCCCACGTGACACAGTAAAACTGACCCGTAGAGTTTCCTTGAACGCAGTCTTTATATAAGCAGATTGCCAGGTCTTTGTTCTATGGAACCACTGGGTGAGTTTGAACTAGCAACCTTTCAGTTAGCAGCTGAGCATATAACCTTTTACATCCCCAGCGCTTCTCTTAGTTGACTAACTTTCCAAAAATAGATGACTGGCTGGCTGGTCTTCCCTATCTCCATGCAACTGGCCTTTCCCCGAGGGCTGCAGGCGCCCAGCCCCCTGTTCCCAAGGGCAGTCATACTGGGTTTTCTTTGGGTCCTTTACTTGACATTAGATCTTGTTATAGGATGTTTTCTGTCTTTTTTTCAGTAGGTTCCAGCTTTCTGGCCCTTGTTTTTATCTGTGAATCCCTCTCCATATATAAGTCACCCTGGACCAGCCTGCAGGTCCTTTGTGGATGATAAGGACTTGGAGATCTGTCACCAGCCTCTCCTGTCTGTCCTCTGAGCCCTCACTGGCCCTCCAGTACTCCACACTCTTACCTCAGGGGTTCACCTTGAGGCACTCTCTCCCACCCAGTAACCTGCTGTCTCATCTACTTGAACCATCCCCTGGCTTCCCCCACCCCTACCTGGCTAACAGCTGCTCATCTGAGAATCACTTTCTCCAGGAAGGCCCTTGTGACTGTCGCCCCATTGGACCATCCTCTGCCCACACAACACTGATGGCAGTGTGCTGTGAAGGTCCGTTTGCTGGTCTTGATCCCACTAAGACCGTGTTGGGCAGTACTGTGTCTGGACCATCTCTAGTATACTTGGTGGGTTTTTAGAGCCAAGGACGGAATGAGGCACCAGTGCCTTGGCTCATCAGAAGGGACGCAGGATATAAACAGCCTGCAGAGCATGAGGTCTCCAGGGAGCAGGCTGGAGGCTGCCCCCGCCTGGACAGAACTTTGATCAGAAGGAGAGAAGGGGAAGATGAGGGAACCAGTCTGTCATTACTGAAACCTAAGGTGCACAGTGACCAGTGAAGGCTGAGCTATCCCGCAGCCCAAGACTGTGTAAAGCCTCCTGGGCTGTCAGCACCAAGGCAGCCTTAGAGGTTATCCTCCAGAATTCTTCTTTGACTGCAGTTGTAACTACGGTACAGACCAGAAAAGGGACATCCCCAAGGTCACTTGGCAAGTCTGAGGCAGAGCTCGGGCAGAAACCAGAATGTTCCATGATTTCTTGTAGACCTGATTCTCTGTTCCTTTCAAGGTATGGCAGGGGCTCTGTCTTGCTCCCCTGGTGCTGACGCCCCAGTGCCCTGCAGACTGTTTAATGCTGTCTCCTTGCTCCTGCAGGTGAACCTGGTGCTGGGGAATGGTCGGTCCCTGGGCCTCACGATCCGAGGGGGAGCTGAGTATGGCCTGGGCATCTACATTACTGGTGTGGACCCAGGCTCAGAAGCTGAGAACAGTGGGCTCAAGGTGAGACGTCTGACCCCACAGGAGGGTTGATCACCCCTTTCTGCTTTGTGGGATGAGGGAGAGGAGGTCTCTGCATGGAGTCTTTGGTGCTAATTTAATCAGCCTTCTAGCAGAACAATCAGCACCCCACCTGAAGACTGATCCCTGTTGGGAAGCTCTTCACAGCCAGCCGGCCAGCCGCTGTGCCTCTGATTCACAGCTCAGCACTCCTTGAACATCAGGAACTGCCCCCACCCCCATCATCACACATCTCCTAGCCTGCCTTTCCTCCTACCCCCTCACGCTATCTCCGGAGCAGGGCAGTAGCCTCCTACATGGGGCCAGGCAGTGGGCCAGTTGGAGCTTCTCGTGGCTGCTGTTTTGCAAACACTGCTGCACTGCTAATGGCTTGTGATTGCCCCAAACGTCGGGGTTCATTGTGGTGCTTGGGGAAGGAAGAAGACATGAATTGGACTGGGGTCACACTGGGTACTTTCAGGGCTTGTGTTCAGTCCAGTGCAACCAGAAATTACTGAAATAAGATGATTAGCTCACGTTTTAGAGAGGATTCACTTCACACATGTCATCACAGTGAACCCTTATGCTACCCAGTGGAGTAGGTTGTTATTATCCACCTTGCCCAGTTGGGGAAACTGAGGCACCAGTTAAGCCAACCTGCCTAGGGTCAGACAGGTTGCAGAACAGGATTTGACCCCACGCGTGGTCTGGGGAGGGCTGGGAATTTGCTCAGAGCTTGTGGACAGTGGTGGTGGGTCCTTGTCCCAGGATGCGGATCATCTGGTCAATGGTAGCATGTGTCAGGAAGGCCAAGGGAGCAGCCATGTGGTGTGGTGACCATAGGTAGTGATAGCATTTGAGCCAGGCCTTGTCGATGGCAGAGGTTGATGGGTAGAGGGGCTAGGGAAGAAAGGGTGCATCCGGCTGAAGGAACTGCATGAGTGGGCACAAGGGAGACTGGGACATGAATAAGGGCCAGGGAGCAATGCTTGGGATGAGATATGCTGCAAGAACACAGGCAGGAAGGTGATGGCGGTCATACTGATATAGGAGATCCCTGAGCAGCATCCCGGGCAGACAGGCTGGAGGGGCAGGAGACCTGAACATCAGCTAGGACTGTGTTCCTTGGGGAATATGGATTAATGAAAAGAGATCTGGTCCTGGAGTTGGGAGCCTGGGTTCAAATCCCAGTGTTACTGCCTTCACTTTAATAGCTATGTGACCTTGGGGATCCCGGCGTATAAAAAGAGGTATAAAAAATACCTCTTTCCTATGATTGTTGTAAATATAAATGAGTACTGATGGACGGTAACAACATTTAACATTTATTGGGTGTCTGCTCTTTCCAGTGTCTGACTGATGGCTGCTTTTGAGATCATGCTGTTCATTTATCGAATAGTTACAGAGTGCCTCCCATGTGCTGCTTTACCTGATTTGTGTACCAGTGTTCTGAGAAGGGCGTGTCTTTATCCTCATTTTACACTGACAGCTTAAGGAGCAATGTTAAGCAGCTTGCACAAGGCCAGCCAGCTCAGAAGTTGTGGAGTTGGAATCTGAGCCCACTGTAGCACACTCTTACCTTGCCCTGCCTTCCAGTGATGACACATTTCACAGCTGGAGAAACCCAAGTCATACCGAGTTCAACTAATCTGCCCTAGGTCACATTCTTTCTAATATCAGAGCTGAGATTTGAACCCAGGCCTTTGACCACTATGTGAAAGTACATATGACCCTTCTTCTCTCTGGGTCTCACTGACCCCATTTGGAAAGTGAGCAATTGCCCTGTTGGGCCAGCTGTTCTCTGAAGCTTTTTCCTGGCCTGAGAGGGTAAGAGGGGTACCCTGCCCCCAGAAGCATATTCCATTCTTTCCCCTTTACATTCCTGTAGTCAGAGTTGTCAATGCCAAGTAGCCTGTTGGCAGACCCTCTTTTACATGCAGGTAGGGTACAAATGTGGCTGCCAATGTACTTGGAGGATTCCTATGGGTCAGACTCTGGGCATACCCCATGGCTTCAGACCTGAGCAAAACTCACAGTCTTTGACCTCCTAGAATCACATCATAGTGGAAAGGCAAGGAAAACAAACGGGCAAGCCAACGAATAGGACAGCTGCTTATTTAGTTTTGTTGTTGTTAAGTGCTGTCGAGTTGATTCCAACTAATAGTGACCTTTTATAGTGGGGTCCTGGTGTGGCACTGTGGGATAAAGCACTGGACCCCACAAGGTCAGTTTGAACCACAGGGTTGGCAGTTCAAACACACCAGCTGCTCCTTGGAAACCCTACACAAGATCGCTTTGAGTCAGAACTGACTCGACGGCACTTAACAACAACAAAAGGGTTACTGCTGGGTTTGAACTGCTGACCTTGTAGTCCAGAGCTTATCCTACAGCACCACACCGGGACTCCTATTTAGTTACAGTTGTGGTAATTCCCAAGAAGGAGAAGTACCTGAAGTGTGTAGCAGTGCAGACTAGCCCAGTTTTGGATATTATGGAAGGCTTGGGTGTCTTGGAAGGCTTCTGGGAGGAAGAAACATTTCAGGTGAGTTTTTAAAGAGGAGAATAAAAAGTGTGTGAAAGAGAAAATGAGACTTTAAGATAGAAAGGAGATGCCGAGGTCCTAAGAGTTCCAGGATCCCAGTGAGGGTCAGTCAGCGGGGGCTGGATGCTTAAAGACGGACAGGGAGAAGATCCCTGATAAAACTGATGCTGCAAACAGAGCCAGCTCACACAGGGCGTGCAATTCACCCCAAACTGTGCAGCCATGAAAAGATGATGATAGAGATGCACAGTTATTAATGTGGAAGGATGGCCACGGTCTGTTATTAAGTGGGACACGCAGGCTGCAAAAGTGAACAGGATCTCATTTGCGTTATGTATCGATGTAAAATATGCATAACTAAAAATCTACTCAGACCTCTGCTGAAATGTCAGCAGTGGTTGTCTGAAGGTGGGAAGATTATAGATGATTCCCGCTTTGTTCTTTCCGTCCTTAGGCAGCGTCTGAATGGAGCAAATATTACTTGTATAATCACAGAAACAGCAACAGTACAGCAATTTCCATTTTGAAACAAGGCAGAGGAAAAATATTCCAGAGAGGTTTTGTAGTCACTTTCGTTTGCCACTCAGTTGCAGGCAATCAAAGGCTTGTTTGCTCATAAAATGCCCACCCTCAGTAAAGTCCTTTCCATCTCCAGTTCCCACCACAGCGAAGCGTTTTATGTTCCCTGCCACTGTTTTTACTTTCTCCTCCAAGGCCCCTCCGATATGCTAACACCTGCCTGCACACACCGGGTATCCAGGACTGATTAATTCTGGTTTTTGCCAGTGCACTTGCAGTGGAATTAGGCATATTGAAATGGAATAAAGGGGCTTGGCTGTGTGGGCTGCAGAGCCAAGAACAGGCTTTATTTGTAAATAGGGATCCTTGCTGCTATACAGAGCTTTCCTGGGGTGAAAATGCTACTTTTCACTTGGCTCCCTGTAGCTCAGCCCACTTAGCTTCTGAGGGCCCATTTGAGTCCAGCAAAGGGGCAGGCAGGCATTTGGAAGCCTGGTGGGCTCCTACACTCACCCTGGGGACATCCCTGGTGGAACTTGCAAGCCTCCCACCCTCAGGTAGGGCGTGCCTTGCCCTCAAGATTGATGCTGTGGGCCTCTCTTGTTCCTGTGCACCTGCTCCCCCAGCTCCAAGCCCCCCCCCCCAAAGAACAGAAGATCACACACCTTCTTTGTACCTTTAAAGATGGCGAGGTTGATTGGCATTTAAAAATTATAATAATTATACCAGTTACCATTTGTTAACTGACTGTAATGAGTCAGGAACTGTGCTGAAGACTGTAGATACAGTGTTGTTGGTGGGTACTATCTGGTTGGTTCTGATTCATAGCAGCCGGCTCCTGTACCATCCTCTCTGTTGTAGCCCCTGTGTCAACCCATCTTCCTCCTGACAGTGTCCAAAACATGTGAGCCACTCACACCAGCCTCACCTCCAAGGAGCATTCTGGTTTTACTTCTTCCAAGATGAATTTGTTTGTTCCTCTGGCAGTTCATTCAGTATTCGTTGCCAACACCTCAATTCAAAGGCATCAGTTTAATCTTCCTAATAACCATATGGTGCCATTTAGTAGGTGAGGAACTGAGGACCAGAGAGGTAGGGTGACTTGCCCAGTATCACACAGAGGTCCAGGCACCAGTCCTTCCAAGTCCAAAGCCTGTGTGCTTGCTAGGACTTTAATTTGACTAAATATGAGAAGAATGCAGAGAGAGGAAACATATGACATTTACTCGTCTTAGAAATAAGCTTCTGAAGCTCAGACTGGCTGTTCCAGATCCTATGGGGCCAGCCCTAAACATCTCAGGGCTGAATGCCCATTTGGGTTCTGCCTTTGGGACCAGGCTGCCATCTTGGCTGAGGTTCCTGGGAGCCAAACTCTACTTCTGGGAATCTTCCATCCATAGGCTCACTGCTACACTCCAGCTGGCACCAGGCTGCGGGGTATCTGGAGGCAGACCGTGGGTATCTGGGGGCAGGCCGTGAGGTACCTGGGGGCAGCTTTGGGACTGAGGACTGACTGCGGATCTGACGTGTGTGCTGGGCCATGGTGAAGTCAGCTGGCTGGAAGTAACCCCTCTGCAGCTCCCTCTGTTGTTCTCCCCACCTCTCCGCTCTAGACCAAGCCTGTTGCTGGACACTCAGCAAGGATCAGGTGATCTGCATGTGTCAGCTCTCTCCTCCCTCAGCACAGCGCTGGAGGTGGGCGCTCTTAACCCCACCTGTAAGTGGGGAGTATTTGTGTGGTGCCTGTCTCTTCTCCCATGCTGCATGGAAAGAGACTGGGTGTTCTTCACCCACTGTGGCCCTGTGCTCAAGACCACACCTGGCATGCAGGAGGTGTTCCGGAAATATTCTTTGAATGAAAGAGTGACTTGGCCAAGGCAGGAACAGAGTCAGGTCTTTATGACTCGCAAACTCTGATCTTGACATCCTGACCAGCACACAC